CGAGATAAACGCAGATATACGAAACGTAAACAAAGCAGCGCTTGCTTACCATTTTGAACATCAGTAACGTTGATAACTAATCATTTTAAGCGGCTCATGTTGTTATGAAAACATTCGCGTATTAGAATGATTGGGAAAGATCACGTAACATTTAACCAGCCTTCTTCTGTCTGTACCGCTTTCATTTACATGTTTGTTTTCATCACTTTCGCTTTAATTCTCAGGCACTGACTCGTTTGCTAAACTGAACATCCAATCAGAGTTCTCACTCTCGCCGACGGCCCCGACGCCGATTCAACATGTTGAATCGGGCAAACTGCCGCTGACGAGAGGAACACACCAAACAAACAAGCCCGACAGTCGGCTTGGTGTGTCCCGGCCTTTATGTTAATAAGTGCCGTCATTCGGTTATGTTTATTATATTAATGTTTCAGCACGTTACAATCATTATATGGCTTGAGTTAAGGTAACCTATCTTCTTAATTAAACAGTTTATCACACAGATTGAAAGCGTGAATCCCGTCTCTCTCTGTTTATGGGTATTTGTGTGTGCATGCGGGGGAGGGGTGCAATTTTTGAATATTATTTTTGCTTGGAATGCCCATCCCTAGTATCTCATTACATGGTATGCAGGTCACCTGATAATGGTGCAGACGATATCAGTAAACAATGATTCTCTTCTTTTCAAATTGAGAAATACGCCATGCAGGCCTGTGGACAGACCACCATCTTTGGAGGCTCCATTGTTTATGCAATAAACAAATTGTCTTCCAAACAGGGTGAGCCTGGAGGAGTCCAGCCAGCCCCTGCAAGGGCCTCGGCTTCATTCTGGTTGCCAGGTGAATGGAGCAAGACCATCCCTGTGCAGGACCAGAGGTGGACTGCCAAGAGCGTATTTCACTCTGGCAAGCTGTGCCCAGATTTTAAGCTTTGGTATAAGCACCCTGTCTCAGCCCTCAGTTACCACCAGATACCAGCAACTGGTTCTATGGCCTACAATGGTGGATTCCACAACACTAAGGTGAGCTAATTGAAAATTATATTTAATGTAGCATCACATATATGTTAAAATACTGTTATGAAGTTCCAGTACATATTATGCCTTTCTACTGTTGTTTTATAAGCCTGCCACTGCCACTGAATCTCCAGCTGCACCCCACAGTCTGAGGCTTCAGACACGGCTCCTGGCGTAATGCAATTAATGTGATGTACTTTATTGCAATTAACTTTATTTCTCTTTTTAGTTCGCCAAGTCACGCTTTGGTGGGTCCCAGTTGGCTTCACTGAAGCCCAATTTAGTAGATAGGTAGCCCCCCAGCCCCTCTATTCCATCCTTTGCAAGGACCCTATGGCCTCTGTGAGGACCACCACACCTGCTCCATTCTCCACCTATGTATTGGACAGACTGTGGTGTATATTAGTTCAACCATTGTTTATGCAATAAACAAATTGTCTTCAAAACAGGGTGAGCCTGGAGGAGTCCAGCCAGCCCCTGCAAGGGCCTCGGCTTCATTCTGGTTGCCAGGTGAATGGAGCAAGACCATCCCTGTGCAGGACCAGAGGTGGACTGCCAAGAGCGTATTTCACTCTGGCAAGCTGTGCCCAGATTTTAAGCTTTGGTATAAGCACCCTGTCTCAGCCCTCAGTTACCACCAGATACCAACAACTGGTTCTTCACCCATCGGTTGATGGTGCGGATACCCTACCACCTTTGGAAGGTGAGGGTGTCCACTCCAGCTTGTGACAAGAACCTGATGGGCTATGGCATCCACAAGAGGGCTCGGAGGGTCCTGGACATCGACAGATACTATCTGATGGTGACAAGAGACACTTGGTTGCATTGTGTGATCTGGCTGCTGTACGTGTATGACTGAGACTAATTTTTTCAGGTTCTGTGCCATTTACCAGAGTCCCAAGAAAAAGGGGACTGGTACAATGTTCAGATGGGATCTCATCCTGGAGGACTACAGGATAATTGAAACGATTGCACCTATTTCTTGTGGTGTGCTCCAGGGTTCCCTTCTTGGTTCGGAAAGAAGACAGGGGAGGTAAAATAGGCATGGGAAAATGAGACACAGTTGAGAACCATAATCTAATAAAGTAATCAGCATTCTCATGGGAACGCCAATTGCCACAATCCCAACACAGAAAGACAAGGGTAAATAAATACATGTACAATACAATACAATACAATAAATCCACAAGAGAAGATAGACAGACACCACAGCGTCGTGACTCAGATGACACTCAGTACTAACCCCACTGCTCCCATCCCCACCTATTCCATATCTACATGAGTTGATGATATCAATGCTCAAATGTCCTATAGCTTCCGTAACACTGACCAAAAGCTGCTGGTTGGTAACCTCTCTGTTCAATTGGTTAATACTGCTGGTGTTTTAGGCCTTCCAGTGCTATCAGAAATCTTGGTATGATTTTCAATCTTTCTCTCACCTTTTATTTCTCACATTGACTAACTTGTCAAATCAGCCTGCTTATACCTTCATAACATTGCTTGCCTTCATCCTACTCTAAATATAAAAGGTGCAGAAATTCTTGTACACACTTTATCACCTCCCCGACTAGACTACTGAATCTCTCTTTACTATGGCCTGCCCATCAAGAGGATGAATAATCTTGGATACATTCTGAACTCAGCTGCTCAAGTTCTTATGGGTTTGGATTGTCATAAGAGTAAATAACGACAAAAGTTAAATTTTTTAATACATTTAGCCGTGATGGACTGGCCATTTGTCCATGGTGTTTCCTTCCCTGCCTTCGGCCCGAGATATGGGATCGGCTCCAGCAGCCCGCAAGCCTACAAGCAGTGTGGAGAATGAACTAATTCTTTAAAATACTTTCTCTAATATTTACTGTAATTAACAAGAAAAGGAAGGAAGACAAACTGCTTACGACTGTTTATTGCAGCAAATTAATTAGCAAGGAAACAGTATGTACATGTACATGCACGCTACTGGAAGCACAACAAAGAATAAACTGTGCTGATAACATTCAGACCTGCGCACAACTAGAATAATATTTCCATGCTTTTCCTGATCATAAATTTAAAGTTGCCTGGTATTTCCAGAGTTCTACAATCAGTAAACTTATCCAGATATTACAACATTCAATTGAAATCGACTAAACGATAAGCTAAAATACACCTACAATCTATGGGAACAAATCATTTTGTTCAGTTTATATCAATTTATTGATAATCTTCAAGTTACATTGTTGCTTTTCCCAGCAAGGTACAAGTTTGACTTGTAAATTTTGACTCAAAGGAAATCAACACATGGAATTGAGTGACATAACTCAAAATTTGAGGGAATCTACTGTAACGGTTCAATATTTGAAACTACAGCAAAGAAGATGATCAGGTATGGCCACAGGAGTACAAATGCACAAAAGAAAAGAAAATGCCTTATGGTGAAGCATAAAGAGATGAAGGATGCAAGTAAAAGAAGTAGTCTTTAGTAGGTAACAATCAGATGTAGCATTTTTTCTTGTCAAACTCTTGGGTCTCTGGATCTCACATTTGCATGACTTTTCAGTGTGATGGCAAATTATTATTTGACTACAATTGAATTGTCTTCCAGAATGAATGCACAGATGATTATAGAAATCTCTCCTTTTTCTAAACCTCTTCCCACTAAGGAAAATGGCCATTTCTTCTCAGAATGCGTTCGCAAATGACGTTTCATGCTGCGTTGACATGTGAAACTCTTCTCACACTGAAGACACTTGTGAGGTTTCTCTCCAGTGTGAACTCTCATGTGAATCTTTGAGGTTATCTTCTCTTGAGCAACTCTTTCCACAGTGATGGCACATGAGAGGCTTTTCTCAGATGTGAATTTTAACATGATCCTGAAGGTGATTCATGTCTGTGAAACTCCTTTCGCACTGATGACATTTAAAACCGTTCTCTGAGTGAATCTTCATGTGACTAATAAGGTTTGCATTATATCTGAAACTCTTTCCACACTGATCACATGTGAATGGATTCTCTCCAGTGTGAATTCTAATGTGAGTCTTTAGGTTTGTTTTATTCGTGAAACTCTTCCCACACTGAGGGCAGGTGAAAGGCTTGTCTCCCGTGTGAACTCTCACGTGGGCATTAAGGAGTTTTTCTTGTGTAAATCTCCTTCCACACTGTTGACATTCAAATTGCTTCTCTCCAGTGTGAATGCTCATGTGAGTCTGAAGGTTTTCTTTTAGTCTGAAACCCTTCCCACACCGAAGGCAGGTGAACGGCTTCTCTCCAGTGTGAATTACCATGTGGGCATCAAGGGTTCTTTTCTGTGTAAAACACTTCCCACACTGAGAGCATGTGAATGGATTCTTTTCCATGTGAATAATCATGTGAGTCTTAAGATATCTATTTAGTGTGAAACTCTTCTCACACAGTTTGCAGGTGAACGGCCTCTCTCCTGTGTGACTTCTCATGTGAACTTTAAGTTGACTATTTTGTGTGAAACTCTTTCCACACTGATTACACATGTAAGGTTTCTTTCCAGTGTGAATTATCATGTGAGTCTGAAGCTCTGCATTTCGTCTGAAACTGTTCCCACACTGATCACATGTGAAAGGCTTCTCTCCAGTGTGAATTCTCATGTGGACATTAAGTTGACTTTTCTGTGTGAAACTCTTTCCACACAGTTTACAGGTGTGAAGTCTCTCTCCAGTGTGAATTTTCATGTGGGCATTAAGGTAATATTTCCGTGTAAAACTCTTTCCACACTGAGGGCATATGAACGGTTTCTTTTCAATGTGAATTTTCATGTGGACTTTAAGGCATCTTTTTTGATTGAAAACTTGTCCACACTGTTGGCAGGTGAAAGAGCTCTCTCCAGCATGATGGGGAGTTAAGTGGGAATTAAGGTTTGTAGTTTGTGTTTTTTGAGCATTTTTAGGTGAGGAAGTCTTTTCAGTCTGTGAGCAACTAATTGATTCTTCTTCAGTTTTGAAATCATGCTGTTTCTCATTTTGATCGTTCTCTTCTGTTTCATTCAGTTCTTGACTCTCCTCTTTCAGTGCCATGAAAAGAGACAAATACAAGTTAACACCAGTTTAATGGCACAAAGCAACAGATATCAAAACATTTAGACTAGTGCTGTCAATCAATTAAAAAAAATAACTATGTGACAAACATAATTTCACAGTGAATCTCCAAATTAATGTAAAACAACAAAGATTGTGAAATATGTGGTTTAATGGCATCTTTTACCAAGTAGCCTATTGTTAATGAAGACCAGTCTCATTGATACAAATACTGCTACTGATCTGTCTCTATTAAATGCATTTTACTCCCAATTTTAGCCATTAATTATAGCCATTATTACTGTATAATCAAAAAACATTATTTGTAACATTTAAAAGGCTTTTGAAAAATAGTGAACTAAAAACAATCTTCACGTAAAATGTACATGCATAAACTATTAATTGAATAAATTAATCTTTATTAAAGTCAATCAGAGCAGTGAGTGATTTCTTTCTTTTCCTCTTTGACTTACATCAATGTCAGACTGCAGCAGGTTTCATTTTAAAATCATAACTAGAATAATATTTCCATGCTTTTCCTGATCATACATTTAAAGTTGCCTGGTATTTCCAGAGTACTACAATCAGTAAACTTATCCAGATATTACAACATTCAATTGAAATCGATTAAACAAGCTAAAATACACCTACAATCTATGGGAAGAAGTCATTTTCTTCAGTTTATGTCAATTTATTTGTAATCTTCCAGTTACATTGTTGCTTTTCCCAGCAAGGTAAAAGTTTGACTAATATTTTGATTCAAAGGAAATCAACACATGGAATTGAGTCACATAACTCAAAATATGAGGGAATTTACTGTATGCATGCATAAGATTTAATATGAAGCGTCCGTAACTGTCACGTCTGTAACGCATTATTATGAAAGAATGGAAATGAACTGTTGATCATAATTAGCATGGCCATAAGTTGGCTTTGTACAGAAAGTTTCAAGTTAATTGCATTAATGATTACTATATGATATAAACTTAATCTTTCAAATGTTACGGACGTGACAGCGCTGAAGCGTCCAGACCTCATAAATCTAGCCCTTATAAATCCAAGAATCATCGCTGTTTAGACAAAGTGAATTTATTCACTTTTCAGACAGGTCTCCTCCATCTTTCTACAAAATACTTACTGTTGACATAAATAAAAAAAATGGGCAGTCTTTGATCTCTCATTTGAAAACATGAAATATAGTCGGATGAAAATGTAATTTTACTTTAGATGCACCCCCTCAAAACATACAAGTTCCTTCAAATTTTTATTAAAGCACATTAACGTTGTAAAATACAGACCTAAATGCACAAGTTAAACAAAGTTTTATTCTTTTGGTAAAAAAAATATTTTTTCATGGTAAGGATGACTTTTGCATGGAATTGCCCAGGGGCAAGTGAAAGAAGAGAATTTTACTTGCCCGACCGGACAACTAATCTGATTAAAACATGTAATTGCACCGAAATTTTTGCGAGAATGGTTCTGATTTGATCACATTCGGTGTAAACGGCGATTGATAATGAACAACAAGGTCGCTTGCGCCAGTTGAGGCTCACGCAGCCGGTCTGTGAGAGAATCTCGTGGAGAAATCAAAACAAATTAATGTAACTACACAGAATGTAACTTGGTTTTTATATTTATAACACAGCCTAGTTAAGCAACATGACACAACCAAGAGAGTGACGTTTTCCCTGAAAACCACGATTGCAAATTCCATTCATAAGGACAGGCACTTGCTTCATTCTTGAATGAATCAGCCGTCTGAACGAATCGTTTGAAGGCATGCTGACTCATTAATTAAGATTAACGAAACCGCCACCTACTGGTGGTTTACTTTCATAGTAACCTATCTTTGCATTTTTTCCAACATTTCATATTTGTATATTGAAAATATATATATTTTAAAACACCGAGCTCACAACATTATTTATCCTGTTATAATTTTACATGCAGTGTAAATGCATTCGTGCTATACTTCAGCTACATTGAACTGTCCGTGTAAATGCATCCGAATGCCACTCCAGTCAGCAGTGAGCCAGTGAGAATGCTGAGTGGCTAGTAAATTTGGAAAACCACTAGCCACAGTGGCCGGTGAGCAAAAACGTTAATGTCAAGCCCTGCATATGCATATATACAGTATCTCACAGAAGTGAGTACACCCCTCACATTCTTGTAAATATTTTATTATATCTTTTCATGTGACAACACTGAAGAAATGACACTTTGCTACAATGTAAAGTAGTGAGTGTACAGCTTGTATAACAGTGTAAATTTGCTGTCCCCTCAAAATAACTCAACACACAGCCATTAATGTCTAAACCACTGGCCACAAAAGTGAGTACACCCCAAAGTGAAAATGTCCAAATT